AGACTGTCAGAAGAATGAGCCGTCTGTCTTAGAAGAAGTACAGTTAGAATGTTCCTTAGAGGTGAGGACTTTGAGACTTTATCTCACGTATTTTGGACATGCTATCAGGAGAGACTAGTTTCTGGAGGACATCATGCTTGGTAGGGAAAATGAGGAAGACCCTCCAGAGACAGACTTCAGTGACTGCAGTAATGGACACAAACAAAACAAGAATTATGGGGCTGGTAAGGGACTGGGCAGAGTTTCACTCATATGTACACAGGATTGCTATGAATTAGAACTGACTCAACGGCACCTAACAACAGCAAGTATTATGCTATAGCTAATCCTATGTTACTAATGGAGTCCTGGTGTGGCACTGTAGGATAAGCACCGGGCTGCTAATCACAACGTTGGTGGTTCAAACCTACCAGTCACTCCTAGGAAATCCTATACATAGATGCTATGAGTTGGAATGGACAGACAGCATGGCACTTAAACAACACAACATGGTATTGCTATAACTGAAATTGAAATTGCACACGTGTATGACTTATGCATAAAGACTATTTTAAAAATACTTTTTATCTCCACACTCCCTGGTGGTATCTGAATCTGTCAATCCTTAAAAATCTCAATCAAGCCTTGTAACTTTTCGGGGTTCATTGTTGTCATTGTTCTTAGGTGCCTTGGAGTTAGTTCCAACACATAGAGACCCTGCGTACAACAGGAAAACACACTGCCTGGTCCTTTGCCAACCTCACAACTGTTGCTATGTTTGAGCCCATTGTTGCATGTACTGTGCCAATATGTCTCATTGAGGGTCTTATTCCCCTTCACTGACTCTCTACTTTACCATGCATTATGCCCCTTTCCAGGGATTAGTACCTCCTGGTAACATGTCCAATGTATGTGAGATGACATCTTGACATCTTCGCTTCTAAAGAGCATTCTGACTGTACTTCTTTCAAGACAGATTTGTTTGTTCTTCTGGGAACCCATGGTACTTTCAATAGTTTTCATAAACATCACAATTTAAATGCACCAATGATTTCTAGTCTTTTTTATTCACTGTCCAGTGCTCATATGCACACAAGGCAACTGAAGATACCAAGGCTTGGGTCAGGGGCACCTTAGTCCACAAAGTAATAGATTAATACTTGAATCTTCAGAATTTTTATATGGTTTTTATTACAATTTGCATATATATTCCGCCTTTGCTACGTTATCTGTTTAAATACATGCTGTGTCTTCCCTGGACCTACTGGTCATTTAGGCTAATGGAAATAAAGAAACAACTTACCAGGTTTGACCTGGGATTTGTCCACTGCTCTGGGCCTCACAGGAGTAGTGTACAATCTGTGTGGTGCTGAAACAGAGGAAACACTTCATATTTAATAACTGAGACTATAAAACACACTAAATAGAGGATTTAGCACCTTGGGTACCAATAATTCTGAGAGGAAGTAGAAGGAATGTTCTGAAACCTCCAATTATGTATTATGGCACTTATGCTAAAGGAAAACGAAATAAGTAAAGTATTGATTACTGGAAATTAAAATTTCACAAGGCAAAATGAGGTAGGTCATTTGTAGTAAGTGTTTAAGATTAGTCAACATTCAATCCATGCTTTTCAAAAGCATTCATTCGGCCAGAAGTTTGCTTAACCCAGTAAGCTTATATCCATCCATCTATCCATCCATTCACCCACTTACCCATCCACTAATCTATAACCTATACATCCATCCATGCACAGCTCTCAATTAGATGTCACTATGGGACAATATTTTGCTAAAACAACAACAACAAAAAACCCCCACAAAGAACCTCAAAGGCAACAAGAGAAATGATTTTAGACAGTTAAGATTAAGAGAGTTTAAATATGTTTTTGTTGTTATTAAGTGCCTTCAAGTTGGTTCCGACCCATACAGGGTTTCCGAGGAGCAGCTGGTGAGCTTAAACGACCAACCTTGCAGTTCAAACGACTTTGTGCCACACCAGGTTAATATGTAGTCTCTGTAAAATTACTTCTGCTCATAAACTTTTAATTGAATAAATCATCACACTTTATCAGGGCTGTAAAGCTTAGGAATGATAGAAAGTGACCTCAGGTACTACCCTAGCCATCCAGAGAGGGTGAGGATGGAGCAAGAACCCAGACAAACCCTGAGATCATCAGGCCTCGTTGTTACTTTCTGCTCCTGTTATCCAGGACCTGACACTGTGACTGCCACTGTTAGGACTTCCAGTGAAGACTTGTTGACTGGATAAATGAACTTTCACTGTAAAGAGACAAACTCTTGAGAGTTTCTGCTGAGATATAGTGGTTATGAATCAGGCTGCTAACCTCAGGCTGCTAACCTCAAAATTGGCAGTTCGAAACTACCAGTTGTTACATGGGAGAAAGATGAGGCTTTCTGCTCCTGTAAAGATTTGCAGCCTCGGAAACCCTGCAGAGGGTCACTATGAGTCAAAACTGACTCCATGGTACTCAACAGCAGCATGGTTTAAAAGTGTGCCTTCGTATTGTAATCTGTCCATCCTGTCCCTGGTCTTCTCTGCCTCTCTCAACATATCATACTGCCTCCCATCATTAACTTTCTTAGCAATGTACTAGCGAGGACTGGAAAAAATTTCTTAAAAAATGTCTAGTAGATTACATAGTTTAAATGGTTTTGTTCACACATTTGAGTAGTCATTTGTATAACCATAAATCAGCAATGCCTGTGCCAACCAAGTTAAAAAAGTTGACACCTGTGAAACAGGTCATAATATAGCTCATTTATAAGGTTCCAATGTAAAGACTGAGGTGAAGACTTTTTGCCATACTTCAGGCCAAACCCAGAAGACTTACACTGGCATTCTGTGTAGGTTTGCTTGGGCCTTATAAAGACCAATAATCAGAGCAGACAGAGGTACTGATGTCATAAAAAATAATTCCCACAGACTTTAAAATGCATGACGATGATGTACAAATGTTTTCCTTTAGGGTGGTAGAGGTCCCTGTTAATTTATTCTAGCTTTTCATATAAATTCCTTTCAATGTTAGGTTGCTTTTAGTTTTTTGTTTTTTTTTTTGATTTTTTTACAAATTTAAAGATCATAGCTCTTATTAGGTTC